ACAGAGACACACGCGCACACACACACACACGCACGAACACACAGGTACTTGCACAACCACCGCACGGATCAACAAATTCACACAGCATATCTTTCAGCATTGTCTAAACGAATACACGTAGTTTCTTGCACTACACAGAATATATTTCATCATTATCTGAACGAATGCACGTAGTTTCGTGCACTACCAGAAGAGTTGATGACGTTTGCAGCCATTTATTCACCTGTCTGGTTATTGCTGCTTGTCCGGTTACGTTCAGACAGAAGGCACGTCTCCCGCAAAGGTATGGAGCTGTGACGGACGCAGAAATGAAGCGCTGGGCTTACACCTGTCGGAAAGGCCACAAGGCGCCGTCGCTTCGAGTTCCGCAAGGGTCCAAGTACCAAACAGTCACATATACCCCAAATAATAACCTACAATGACCTACAAGACTACTTCGCTAAGCCCAAAGTACCTGCTAATCAGGCCCTTTAGACGCTAAGAAGTTGACAGTTGGAGGATCGAATGATACCGAGCACGACTTTTGTGACATTTGGGTGGTGGATGTTCGAAAGTCGAAAACCGTGATCCGCAAGAGATTACTGATGCTAAAGTTGATGACCACGGCGAGTTTTATCGAATTGTTGGCAGCACTGGCGGCATTGCATTTTCAGTGGTGATGGCCATTGTACCGGGTCTGACGATGCTAATGATTGGGATTTGGTTTTTCGGATCCTGGGCATGAAAAAGACTGCTTCCTCTGGGTGCTGTAGTATATGCTACAGCAGTTTTGGCGGTGCCTGATGACGACGCTCGAGCGCCTGGAGCGCATTATCGCAAATTATCGCCCGCATAGCTGTCTACACTCTTGCCCCTGTGTTCGTTCGCAGGGCGCCGTGGACAACACACCCAACCAAGACAATTTCTCCATGGCCCACTTCAAGACTCCTGGTCATCTTTACTTCATTATTATGATGGGTTATTCGGATTAACACTATGATATTGTGATTGTTATTGTGCTCAGATTGTTTTTTGTTACTACCAATAATGCAAGTATTGCTCTCATTAACATAGCATTGTCGTTACCCCACTATAGTTTGGACAGGCCAGACCAGTTTTATGAAGGGCCATCAGGGTGTTACACCTACGGTGCTACCATATATCAAACATATGAGCCTTGGTGAGAATTGCATGCTTCCTTGCTTCCTTGGGCACATGCATTTCGTTGCATATCCCCCGCCCACAGATGCCGGGACCATGGAATCATGGAGCGCTTGTTTCCGCTCCAGCTTTGCCATCGGAATCCTAGGCGTGTGGATACGGGGAGTCTGCGAGATATATATATATATACATACATACATACATACATACATACATACATACATACTACAATACCGGAAACCTCCCAACTTGTACTGGAGTTCAACTGTATTGAACAGTAACATGCATCTAGCGCAGCTTTATGTTGTTCTGTGCCCACCGGCGCAACCCCCAAAAATTGCCAGCTTGCTATCCTGCCCCTGAAACACATGCGACGATTCTATGATCCGAGGAACGGCTGGAGGATGCTGTCCCTCGGCAGAAGTATCCTTCATGTTGAGGCATAATGTGATGGATCATGACAGTGAAGAACCGGAAACATGAGGGTAGTTCTGCATCAGCGCGTTCCAAGAGAGCTTCGTTTCGAAGGAAATTTCTGCACCAAGTGCCCATCAACGAAATCCTGAGACGGGATCAGATTATAGTAGAGTGGCTGCAGATATCACGTCCTGCGAGGAGCTGATGAGGTGCATGCTTCAGCTAAGGTGCTGCATGGATGGGCACGGTCCGTTTGGCCAGCTCGTGGCAACGACAGCAGTCCAAAGCCTGCCGCAACATGGCTTCAGTGCGCACGCTCTGTTATCAAGTCTTGAACTTGCTCGGTTTGGCTGATTTCGCCTCCTATACTGGGTCAGCAAAGCTGCAGGATAGTCCAATAGATCCGGGTGACTGCAGCCTCCGCCACTACGGAGATGTCGCGCTGGTTCGAATTCACGCCTGGCTGGCTCTGCGGCAAATTGACGCTGACGATTGATTTGCCGCCAGTTTCTTGAAGGGTTGTTTGCACCGAGCAGTGGGTGAACACGCACGCATGCATGCACGCACGCACGGACGGACGCACGGACGCACGGATGCACGGACGCACGCACCGACGCACGCACCGCACCGACCGACGCACCGCACCGACGCACCGACGCACCGCACCCCGCACACACCGCTCGCACCGCACGCAAAGCACGCACATGCAGACAGACAGACAGATAGAGATGTGCGCCAGTGTTTTATGACCCGCGCTCTCGCTGATCAACCTGCAGCTCTGCCTTGCAGGCCCGAACACCATAGCAGGCCATGCCTTGCAGTGTTCAGGTTTAAGGCCGTTTAGGTTTTTGGTTTTGACGCTGTCAGGGTTTAGGACCCGTCAATTTTGAGCTTCTGCATATTTCTGTGTTGAAGCTTGCTGGAGCTAGCCGGCTCAGGTATCTTGTCGCCCTCAGCAATTTCGAGGCCAGCTGCATGCTGGGCTTCACCGGCTTGGGAAAGGGTGTGTGGTGGGCACTTCCCACTCCACCGGCCAGGTTTCCCAAAGTTATTAATCGGATAAAAGCATGCAGCCGCTACAAAGCAATGTGGGCAGTGCCTGCCCTGCAGGCTGAAAGCGACTGGTGTGACAGAATGGATCTAGAAGCACTGTTCAACGGCGATGCCGAAGCCCACCCGAAACTCCCACCGAGGCCACCATACACAAGCCACAGAACGACAAGTTCAAGCCAGTTCATCGTACAGCTTAAATCAATGGTTGGTAGCCTTTGCCGGCGGCGGGGCATAGGCAACGCCACGCAGCCGGGACGCTAAAGCAATAGATCAGGCACATCACAGTCACAGCCTTAATAAGATGTATCAAACCCTCTTAAGGCCCGAATATTCCTGAGGGTTCCTTACTCTGATTCTACTCTAAGTCTAGTACTTGTCGACTCGAGCTGCAGTGCTCTCCGAACCCTAAGTCTCCAGTTACCTAAATAGTAGGTTACTGGTGTACATAATATATGGTTAGTAGCCCACTATTTGATTTAAATAACTGGAGCCTTAGGGTAAGCTTAGGAGACCTAGATTGCAGCTTTTGGATGTATGGTTTAGGCCGAGAGCCCAATACCCCTTAATTAAGGAATATACCTGAAGTCATAATATTAAGGCCCCCATAATTTGAGGTATATTCCTTAATTAAGGGGTATTGGGCTCTCTGGGGGGTTTCTTCGGCATTAGGTTCGACGGCACCCTCGTGAGGAGGGTGGGGCCCATGAGTTCTAGGAGCCTTTTTAGGAATCTCTTGAAGAGGTACTCATCTTGAACTGAACCCTTGAAATCCCTATTATAGGAACCCCTCTTATACGAGCTCCTTTAAGAACCTTCAACGTCGTGGCAGAGCTCTGCGCCAAGAGCTCCGCTTGCAGGCTGCCGACATACCGAAGGTGCTGACCCACGCTTTCGAGGAAGTGCATTTCAATGTCGAGGTGCCTGCTTCCCTAAACCCAAGACATTAAACGGTTTCGTAGAGGTCAGGTTCCGGGGTTTACGGTTTAAGGTTCGGTATACCGAATGTAACCTCCAAGCTGCTTGGGTAGGATAGTCCCTACAAGACGTGTGGTTCCCATAGGAAACTGAACAAAAGCATGCCGGAGGCAGGGTTTCGAGATAGATGCCGGATGCTGGGTTTTCAGAAAATGGGGCATAGCCTCAGAGACACAGGGGTAGGAAATACTGTTCCGTGGGGTTCCGCTCATATTTACAGCACGCATAGTAATACAAGCCCGCAGCCCGTAACCTTTTAAACCCTAAACTCCCAAAATCCTGAACCCCTAAAGTCTCCAAACCCTGAGACCCTAAACTCCCTAAACCCTGAACCCCTATAAACTCCCTAAGCCCTGAATCCCTAAACTCCTAAACTCCCTGAGCCCTGAAGCCCTAAACTTCCTAACCCTGAAGCCCTACAGGCAACGGCCCTGGTAGATCAGTGGTCCACAGCTCTTAAGCTGCAAGGAGCTAGCCCAGGATTCGGGCCTTTGTGCAGTCGGGACTTACGGGGGTTGACAATGTATTTTATAGAGCTTTATGAAACGGCTTTGCAGAATTTCAGTAGGATGTTTGTGCGTGTTTTTATGTTTTTTTTTTGGGGGGGGGCTTCACAGGGTTCAAGGGTTCAGGGCGCTAGGTTTCAGACCTATAGGGTTTCAGGGTTTAGGGCTGCAGTGTCTTGTGTGTGTTCGGGTGATTTGCCTGACCCTCAGTTTCCTTTTTTCTTCAGGGGTACCCGGCAGTTGCAACAGGCCTGGATGCAAAAAGGGCTGCAGTGTTTAGGCGGCTAAGGGTTTTCGAGGTTTAAGGAACGGAATTCCGTGTACGGTTTGTGGGGAGAATGAGTCAGCCTATAGTGCCTGAGAGGCCTGAACCCAGATAAGCAGCACGCCTCTAAACCGACGTCAAGCAAGTCTTGGAGCCTGGCACCGGGGTCTTAACACTCCCCCTTAAACCTTCAAGTTCCCAAAATGGCTGCAAACCCTAAACCCTCAGACGAGCTCCGAAGCACTAAAGACTAAAGCTGGCAGGGCCCTGGAGCCATAGTGCTGGGGGCTGTCATGATCCTTTCTTTAGACATCCTTTAAGCCTGTCTAGGGTTTAGGGTAATCCTTCTGTACCCGCCCTATTCAATTCTGTCAGATATTTTCTTGGTCGGCACACTCCTGTCATGTGCATGAAGTTCAGTCTAATTCATCTCCGTCTGGCGTACCCTACCTCATGTTTGAACCTGTTGTCTAGGATTGTCTAGGGTGCTTGCAGTGGCCGTTCCGCCTCACTGAAAGTGTGGATTCCTCTGACATCTCGCTGAGGACTCGGCGGTCTGTAGAGGATTTTTCATTCACGCCGTTATTGGTAAAGCTGACTTAATGTAGACCCCCGGTCAATACAAGACCCCACCCCACGGAAGTCTTTGTTTACTGAGGCGGGGAAAGGGCAGCTTATTTGCCGGCGTTTGCACATTAATCCAAACCTAAAACCCTAAAACCCGTATCGGAAAACTCACAGGCGCCCTGAAGCAAAACCTTATATTGTCTATCGTGGCACTCTCACAGCCTAACAATATGGAGGACTGAAGAGTTTGAATTTATGTCCCTGCATCTAGTTCGTCGAAACCCTTTTCCGTGTAGTGACCTGAAACACTAAATCCTAATCCTTAAACTGCCTTAAACCTTAAACCCTGAAACCCTATCCTACACTTCCCAACATTCTCCAAAAACTAGCGTAGGCATGCTCGTGCCCTCGGAGCCGACAATATTCCTGAATTCAACTAATGGACTTAAGAGCTTCCAGGATGTTCTAGAGCTTTGGGGCATTTGCTTTTCATTCAGCAAGTTTAGGCTAATTAGGGGTAGGTTTGAGGGTTATGGTCTGTCGAAGATGTTGTCACCTTAAGTTCCTTGTGCTTTTGAGTGATATTCCAGAAGGAAACCGGCTTGCAACACGTGCCTGAGTTTAGCTCCTGCCGGCGTGTTGAAGCTCTTGCTCGTTATGGAGGGGCTCGCCCTAACCCCTGTAAACATTGAACAATGCCTTGACCCGCTGTTTCTGTAGGGCCCCTAAACCCTAGACCCTTAACCCTATCAGGGCCCTAGCAATATTCGGAACCAACAAAGAACGAGGTTACGGAACCCCGAAGCCCGAATCTCCTACGGTCTCCCAAGAGACGTTGGAGCAACCCCGAAAAGGAACTCCTTTCCCTAAACCCTCAACCCTAAAGCCTACCCATAGGCTCGTAAGTAGTTCCTTTTTATGGTGCATATTTAGAATCCTATCAGGTAATCCCAGGTTCCTATGTAGAATCCTATAAGGTAATCCCCAAAAGGAACTACTACCCTAAACCCTAATACCCTTATAAACCCTAGACCCTAAACCCCAAAGGAACTACTACGGAGCCCTAAACCCTAAACCCTACGGAGCCTATATGGGTAGACCATAAGCTGCAAAAGTGCCAAGGAGACCAGCGGCTGCACTGCGGTCGCCACTCTCTGGAAGGGGAACCAGGCAAGCGCTTTAGTGGTTTAGGGTTTAGGGGTTTAGGGTATTTATAAGGGTTTAGGGTTTAGGGTTTTGTTTAGTGTTCAGGTGTATAGGTTTGAGGCAGTTCTTTACAGGGTTTCTGTCGGCTTGTCACCGGGCGAGGAGGCATGCCCGCTGAAAGTAATTTTGAAGTTTTCCCGCTTATACTGGTATGTCGTTATCTATCGACTGTGTGTCACGGGGTTCTCGAAGATGTTGTGTCGAGTTGTACAGCGATTTTGAGGTTAAGGGTTTCAGCTGGATGGCCAGATGTGGAATTGCTGCAGATAACATGCTTCTTGAGTTGTAGCAACTTGATAAGTGTTCTTTTACAAGAGCCCAGGTCGCCCAGGTGTATTGCTGGTAAGAACGGTTCGTAGAGCCCTATATGGGAATGATATCAGCTGCACGGGTGATGGCGCAGACGCAGCTACCGGTGGTGTTGATCGGGTTTTCGGTTGACGGACCTGCATCAGCTCCTGCATGTTGTGTTGGGATGTAAGGGTGGGCTGAAACAAGATGTTTTTTACTATATTTCTTATTTTTCTATATATTCTGTGTTTGGTGCCAGTACATACTCGCAGGTTCAGCTTTCAACCCCCCCGGGAAAACTTTACTGAGCCGTAACCCTACCCAAAAACTTAAACTCGACCCTAAATCTTTGATGCATCGTAATGATAGCCATGGAAGTAGGAATAACGAGCACAATAATACTACTATCTATCTATCTATCTATCTATCTATATACATACTGATAGTTACTATCGATAGTACTAAGAACAGCAACAGAAATAATCTTACGTATCTGTTCCTCGGCTTTTTCCAGGTTTACATTGCGCACGTTGGCGACTCCCGCTGCGTCATCGGAAGCAAGCCGCAGTCCGAGAATGCCTCCGTGGCACACAGCGTCTAGAGTGTCCTTTAAATCTACATTCTGAAAGATCTTATCTTATATGTGTGACTATACTTGCCCGTTGCCACATTTACCGCCCGCAACGTATGTGCACAAAAAAATCACGCAGCCTATATCAGCAGAGCTGGCGTTGCATCTTGCCCATGCAAGTCCGTAGGGGTGTGTTCCTGTCGGCTTGTCAACGTACTGCTGGTAGGCCATGTTCGAATCTTTGCCATGCGCAACCCTTGAGAAGGACATGCACGTACACACACGCAGAGACAGACAGACGTTTTGGTCTGTGATTTCTCGTGCTACTCCCCTGACCGTTCTCTCACAGTAGATCACTGCTATGGGTTGGTGAAGACAGAGTTTCACAGACTTCACTGGATGGGTAATAATGCTTCAAGTTGAAGAAAACTCTTACGCCGCTGCGGCATGCTTACTATCATATATTATATGACTATCGGCATCCATGTGTCTGTGATCGCTCAAGTTACTCCTCTGCCTTCCACCCTGAACAAGAAATCCCGGTCTGGTATGCGAGCGCCCAGTGCCGGTTGAAGCCCCGTAGAGGGACTGTGGAGAGGCCGAAGGGGCGGGAATCCACCAAGCGATTTCGGCTGGAGCTTCTGGCTGGTTTCTCTCGAGGTAAAACCGATGCGTAGGCTTCGTTGTGGGCCTTGGTCAGTGCGCGGTCTCACGTCTTATTGATCTGATTGTTTTTCGATTTGAACTTTTGTTGTGCTGCTTATTTACAGATGCTTGTCTTGTTTGCTTAGTCTGTCGGCTTTTCACGAGAGCCTGTGTTCCACAGCTGTTTGCTCGCAGCACCGAGGTCCCAAATTCTGCATGAAAGTGCTGACCATAAGCGCCCTGGCTGCAGTCCTAACTTTATGGACCCCAAACCCTAACCCTAAATGCTTCAAGGTTCTGGCGCCTAGGGCGCATCAAGCTTGGAAGAAGACCCTAAACATGAAGCTTTCGGGAAGGCCTTATAAACCTCATACACCCGCAACCCTTAAACCCTAAACTTCAAACCCTAAAGGCCCTAAACCCTAAAACTCCTGGACCCTGAACCTGGGAGGCCCACGGTGAAGAGAGCTCTTGCAGGGTTCCTCGAGGTTATTATAGGGGACTAGAAGTGCTACTTCAGGGCTTACTATAGGGCTACTCCTCTAGGGACTATGAGGGCTGCTTCAGGGCTTACAATATAGGGCTACTTGTGGGGCTACTATGAGGGTATCTGCAGCGTTAGGTCTAAGGATTCGGGGTTCAGCCTTTGCCGCTTAGGCCACCCTAAACCCTCAACCCTAAAGCCTACCCATAGGCTCCTAAGTAGTTCCTTTTTATGGTTCATATTTAGAGTCCTATAAGGTAATCCCAAAAAGGAACTGCTAAGGAGCCTGAACCCTAGACCCTCAACCTCAAACCCTGAAAGAACCGCGACAGTCGGCCATCAAGGGCCCCTACATCTGATTTAAAGACACCCAGGGTTTAGGGTTTATAGGGTTTAGGGTTTAGGGAGGGGGTGCTAGCACGGAGGCCTTCCAATGCAGTCGAGAAGCAGCGCATCGAGGAGAATGGAGGTGAGATCCACACCGAGGCCACTGCGTCTAGGGTTTAGAGCTGCTTTTATGCTTTGCTGTTACTTAAGATCCCTAAACCCCGAACCTTATTAGCGTTGCTACAATGCCACCTTACGCCCTAAGCCCTGAATGCAAACCTCAAACACTCTACCGCTTGCTTTAAACCCTGTAAAGGGTTTATACATCGGGTTTGGGGCTTTGAGTTTCGGGCTCAGGGCCGCTGATTCTTCAAGGATTCCGTTTAAGGGGTGCTTTCGAGGGCTCCCTTGCCTTCCATGTATTTAGGCAGTGTTGGAAGCTGTTGCTGAATTTCTAGATATATATATATATTTATTTATTTATTCATCTGTTTATTTATTTTTGTATTTATTTATCTGTTTACTTATTTATGTACATATATACACGTACATCGTGAAATAATGACCTTATCAGCATGCAGTGGAGATTTTGACTCTTCTGATGTTGGCATTAGGGCATCAGACCTCATGATTTTTTCCGGAAGGGCTGTTAGCAATACTGCGTGCTTGCATGTTCTGGAGTGCAAGAGGCATCTACTACTCGAGGGGGGCACACCGTGCCCGCCAGGCGCGACCTGTATGGGCCCACAAAATCAAAGCAAAACCCTCGAGCAAGGTTTTAAACGACGTGCCCACATCCGAACTCCTCAGCGCCTGAGATCCTGGCTCTACACCGCAAATCCCAAACGGTGAACTTGAGACGAAACTACAAGCCTCAAGTCCGATCAAAGTGCGGGAGCGGAATCACAGCAAAGAGTGTCCTCTTGCAGCCTCAGTACCATTCTAGTACACAATACTGCTAGCTTTATTCTTCGTATAAATAAGACCCCTATATTTTACACAAACTGTAGATGCACGAAAGTACAGCAACAGGACGAACAGATGGGCGGACAGATGGAACAACAGCCACCATTCCTACATGCACCGAACATCGTAAGGAGAGCGAGGGGGAGCCTCCGCGTGCACGTCCTGCCATCAGTACCCAGCCTGCCAGGTGTACCCTGATGGCTGGACCGCGCCGAGAGCCAGCTTCACATGGCTGTTTGTTCTATAGGGGCCTGCGGGGTATATGATTCTGTAGTAATAATCGGGAGCCCTCAAAATACTATTGGTAATTATTGCGGCCCCTATATTGGATCCCAACAGTGCTGAGTCAAGAGGGGTTGTGAGGCACGGCTTGGAGCTCCAAAACTCTAAGACCTCACAGCCCGAAAGCCTTAACTTGAACACTGAATTTCGGAGATTAAGGGTTTACCGGTTTACCTATGTGAGGTCTTTCACTGTTAGGGCTCCATAGGAAGCTAGGGGTCCGGCAGGTTGACGTCTCGGGAGTTGACTTTAGGTGCGGCGACATGAGTGCAGTTAGGATGCAAGACGCATCGGTTCATTTCGCAACTGTGCCATGTCTTTCACGGAGAGGACGGAGCACCGAATCTTTGTGAAGGGCACCGACAAGCCAGGCATCTCGGTTGACTCGTCCCGGGTGTAACTAACCCTGTTATTAAATAACTACTGTTCACGGAGCCGTGAAGGCCGCTTTGACAGCGCCCCTACACTCACCCTTCAAGGGGAATCGAGTCGTGGGTACCTCGCATGGGTTGTCGTGTCGGGTGAGAAATGGCCCTCAACCCCAAATCCTAAACCTATGTTCGCCCTAGGGTTCCGGGTTTAGGGTTTAGGGTTGGGGACCCTAAACCCATGAGGAAGGCAAAAATAACCGTAAACTGAGCGTCTAAGCCCCTAAACTCTAACTCCCTACAGTCCAAGCACCCCAAGTCCTAAACCACTATGAAACCCCAATCCCGGGGTCTTTCTAACCTCGACGGCGCCCTGTAGACTTTCGGAACATTTTGCCGCGGAGCCTCACTGCTTGTAAGATGAAGGCTTCAGGGTTTTTGGTTTAGCCTAAACCCTGAACCCTAAAACGAGGGTAACGAAGCGATGCCTTTCACTGCTTCCTGACGCCTTTGGGGGTTTCGGGTTTATGGTCGAGAAGCACCCTGAAACCTAGCCAAGACCCTCAAATCTAAATAGTTATACCCTTGAGCTGTACACATCCTCTAAATGCCTATGTATCTTCAAAGGCTCTAGGCCGTCTATGCCTCTAAAACCTATACATCTCCGAAGGACTCAGCATGAGCAGAAGCATCGGTGATCAGATTGTGAAGCCCATCGGTGCTCCGGCCATGCGCAGAGGTGATTACATAGCATGTTTTTTTGCTTCGGGGCTTGCAGGTATTTCTGGGGTTTGTAAAGCTTTCGTAGGGTTAGATCGGATTTTTAGGAGGGTTGTTCTTCCCATGGTCGAGAGGTCAAAAGGCAATATGCAGGATGAACGATTTGAGGTTTCGTCGTGCTGGCCTTCATTCTTTATTTCGCAGCATGCAGATGGAGGGCGATAGCATCCTTTTCTTGCAGCCAGGACTCCGCACTGAATGCACTCATGGGCTGATGCAAAGGCTTTTCATTGCAGAACAACCCGAAACCCGCATCTTCCAGGACTCCAGACTCCAGTGGGCCTCAACTCTGTCAAGTCCAGAAATTGTAAACATCTCTACCCCCACGACCTAGTCATGAAGCTAGAAACGCGGCAACAGTAAATGCATTTGGGGCCCCTGCTCTTTCAAAACTCGGGCTGGCGCTTGAAGCATGCCTCCTCCCTGCTCATTCAAACTGACGCCGATCTCCAGATTTTCTGCCCCACTTCTCCTTGATTTAGCTCTTGTTGAGTTCTGTCAATTCTGTTCAGCTCTCTGAGGTGTCATGCCGACGCCAGAGGTCAGGAAAGTGGAGATCCGCAGGGAGGATGAACCATTCATGGTACTCGCTCGGAGCTTGGAAGTGATGTGTTCGTGACCTTGTGGTTCCTCTGTGCTTCTGTCTGTTTCGAGCGCATGCGACTGACACGCACATCTGAGGCCTCGGACGGCGTGTGGGAGTTTCTCACCTCGGACACTCGGCGAAAACTTCCTATTAAGTCACTAATTGCCAATACTCCCCAGATTCCCTAGGGTTCGTTATTATGTTGATACCATAAATGTACCCCAAAACCTCAAACACAAATGGTATACATCTTGACTTGATTCTTGCGTGCATGATGCAAGCGCAAGAGCTGAAACCCTACGTAAAGCCTATAGTTTAGGTCTCTGAACCCACACTTCTAAGGGCTAGCTCTGCAAAAGCAGGGTGTTGGGATGGTCATCAGTAGTAGTAGTAGTAGTAGTAGCAGTAGTAGTCGTAGTCGTAGTCGTAGTGGTAATGGTAGTGGTAGAGTAGTACTAGTACAGAGACTACTGCTCTTCCTTCGGGCTCCTTACTGCATTAAACGTGTCATATACCCCACAACCCAATCCAAATTAGTATTACCGGCTTCACTCAGGTCTAGGAAGTGAGCGGCATGCACCGTCTGAAGAGCGCCAAGAGAAGCCATACTATAGAACCTACTGAAGCCATACACTATAGAACCTACTGACCTGGAATCTTTCACCTTGAACCAATAACACAACCTGTAAAGATGCTGCTGTAGTGCTAAGTTATTGCTGTAAAAATTCTACATAATTATAATACTGCTATCATGATACTAAAATATTACCATAACCACCCGAAAATACAGAACGGGGTTTTAATTCGGCGCTAGGGAGGAGGGCTTCTCCAGCAAGCCAAGGGGGTAAGATCAATTGCCTAACCCGTTTTGATACTTGCGCCCTCCTTGGGCCAAGAGCTTTTCGGCCTCGCTCTGGCGACTCGGCGACTCGGGAATTCAAAGAGAAGAGGCCGGAATATTGCTAGTAATCCTAATCCCCTAATAATGGTCAAGGGTGGCACAAAAAGAAACCAGACGAATTAGTGTCGCACCTACGTTAGCTCCAGAGTCCAACAGTCAGTAATCCTCAGACCACAATAAGACGCACTTGAAAGGATTAAGGTGCATCGTAATTAAGGGGTATCAGAATTCAAGAAGCGTCGCTTAATTAAGGGGTACGTATCAGGTTCCCTGGATTCTGGATTGCGGTCAGGTTTGAGTTCCAAGTGAAACTGAACTTACATCATGCGTTCCTTTTCAGTTTCAGCGATGCCCCAACTTGCGCTCCGGAATTTCCAACCTTGGGCACCCTGCACCAAGGCACCGCATTGGTGCAGACGTCAAGTTTAGGGTTTCAGGCGCGAAACCCGATCCCGAAACGCTGTAAACCCTACAAGCCGGGACACGAACCCTAAACCGTAAGCTAGGCTCCAACCCTAAGCCCCAAATCCTCCTGAATTTTTCGGAGGAGACCGTCGTCAAGGCGGCAACCTCTACTCTTCGAGGCTTTTGATCAAAGTGTTGGGTTTGGGTTGAGTGGGGGAGGGTTTTATTGAGGGTATATAGGGCTTTGTGCTTTGAATAGCCGTGTAAGGAGGATTCTCTGAATTCGGGCCCACTTTTTCCGGATCCACAACAGAAGGCATCAAGCCTTTCACAAGCACCTTGAACGGGACGCAAATTCAGAGCGCAAGTTTGGGAGAGAGTGCGTCGCCATCCACCTCGTCCTTGTCGTCGTAATCGTCGTGTTCAGCGGTGTTCGCCTAGGAGTTCACTTTAGCTTGAAGAACTTAGAGTCCAGAGCTTCTGGGTTCAGCTGTTTATCAGGTTAGGGGGGTTTGCCCTCTGCCTCGTCCTGGGGATGCATGCTTGCCATGCATGCCGTTCCGGTACCAATTACAGGAAGTGATTGGCCTGAGCATTCGGAAGTTGATGGCATCAAAGTGATGTCGCAGTTAAGATGTACAGGCTTTCAAAAACAGCACGAGCAGAGCCAGTCCGAACGCGAGAGGCTCTTCCCGAAACCCTTTAAACCTTGAGCCTTAAGCCGCTAAATCCCAACCCTGACACCCTGATCCTGGAACCCTAAACTCCTATGAAAACTCATTCTGATTCTTGTGAAAACCCTATAAAAAGCCTGAGCTCCCCCAAAAGCAACCCCCAACTATGCATGGAAACCCAACGATTCAAAACCACAAAAGACGCCACGACTGAACCCTCTTGTATACTCCATCGCGTCGAAGGCCGAGGGGTGCAACAAACAGTGCAGGACCCTGGTGTGGAGGGCTTTCAGTCGATTTTCATGGGGGTTTAGTAAACGTCCGTCACAGTCAAAATAGGGCCTTGGGTTAGCAGGGTTACGTTGGGCCCGAGCAAGAAGTGTGTACCACTCATCGAGCTTGGTTTTGCCATGAGAGCCAGTCGACCTGTAAGGCTGGTAGGGCGTCGGGTGCGGTGTTTAGTTTAGGCGTTTAGGTGTGTAGGGCGTTGAGGTTTAAGGTTAGGGTTTATTTGGTGTAAGGGGCCAAGCTTTCTGACGCCTTCCACTCAACTTGCTGAACAGCACGAGCCGTGTAGTCGAACTGGAGCGCTCAAGAGAGGCCTCTCGCAGCCAGCCGATTGACATGCAACCCTCACAAAGTCGCCGTCAGCTTATAAGCTGGAAAGCCTTGTGTCCGTTCAGCAAACCTCAACTCTCATCGCTCATTGTCCGAGAACAAACTTCCCAGGACCTATACGAAGCTGCAAAGCAGTGCTGGCACAATGCTGAAAGCGTGCCTTGACTTCGGTCCAGAGTGAAACCCAAAACCAAAAATGTGAAGCTGCATTTTGTCATTCAAGTCGTTGAATTCTGAGCTGCACGGGGCGCTTGATTCGTGAGTGTCACAGTTTGTGAAGACTGCAAGGTTCAGATGCAGGCTGAGCATCCCGATTGAAAGCCCTGAACCCTAAGCGGATCATCTTGCGAGAGTGTACACAGGAACCTGCATGTAAATCACGGCGAGGATGATGCGACCAGCCAGACTCAGGATCATGTGTCTGTCAGTGGTAGTGATGTTGCTGATTTTGACATACGGTGATGCCTACATGCTGCATAGCTATCATTTGTGGTGCTACGACGATGTCGTTGATGATGTCTGATGATGACGGCGATGTTGTCGAGCGTGGGGAGGACGGAGGAGGAGTCGTGATGGAAATGCATTTACCGTTTCTTGTTGCCGTTGCCGCTGATCATGTATCACACCCTTAACGTCTCCAGTTTAAGTTTCTTACAGAACTGTTGTCTTGAAAAAGCAGTCATGACGTGGCCGTTGGTGTGTCAGCTCAGCCTTCGTTCGCTTTTTTTGGGTGGCCGTGCCTCTCATATCTTGCCTGGCAGACAGCAGCTAGCTCCAGCGTAGATAAGCAGATAGGTTTTTAACACCATCGCGCAGCTTCGGTTTTCGAAACGACATGTACATCTTAGTCAAGATGTATGGTTGAGGGTGCAGTGGTTCGGCTTTGAGACACGCCGTGGGCAAGCCCCGAGCAGCAGCTAAAACCGTGCACATGAAGCAGTTCCTAAACGAGATGTGTTTGCTCCACTTCTCCAATGAGTGGGGCGACGGTATCATAATGCAGGTTCGGTGACTACGCTTGTTTGAGGAGGGTTCGTATTTCCAAGCTTCAGCGAACAAGTTCCCCAGGCCAAGCTTTGCTTCCTTGTCCACTCTGAGGATTACTGCGACGATATCACGGCAATTCTGGTCGAGTTCGAGTAAAGCATGTCAGGGCCCGGGGTCAGAGCCGAAGCATCCAGGGCAGGGCAGGAACGTGCAGGTCTGATTGTTTGCTGATAGCTGAGGTGTCGGCCAGTACCCCTGCCAATCATGCTGTTTTACCGACCTTAGCTTCGAGAACTCCTCCCGAAGTGGCTGACTACTTGCCACAGGTGCTTTTCAGATGTTCCAGGGAAGCAGATCAAGTTATAGCTAGCTAGCTCAGACGTTGCTGCATAGCTTTGAGGATTTTGGATGTCTGTGTGGAGCATGAACAGCATCTTGCGAATGGCTGCCCCAGGATGGGGTCGCAAAAAGAGCTTCTCCTCATTGTAAGGACCCCTACCCCTAAACTCTAAACCCTAAAATGCCCCAACTTCGTCGTACCGGAACCTCGCCTAGGCAAGTCCGACAGTGGGTGCTGAAAATGCCCCAACCCCTAAACTCTAAATAGATTTGCCGCCGAGCAAATAGCAGCTGCTTCGGAGATCTTTCACGCGCTCAGCCGGCTACAGTTGCATGCTTGCCCTAGGCGAGCCGCACAGAGGCCTACTGTGATGCTCAGCAAAGGCATTCCGGCATGGAAAAATGGGCAATAAACTCTAATTTCATATCTTGTCGTCGTCGTGTCATTTGATGTCAGCTAATGTAATGGACAGATGAACCGATACATAGATGGCCGGCTTGGAAAGTAGATAGATAGGTCGACAGCTAGACAGATAAATAGATAGATGGACACACAGTCGATAGATAGGGACGGCATAGATATATAGATAGATAGGTTGATCGATTGTTTGGTTTAGGACCTGGCATACCAGCTTCGGGCGGGAATGTCATGTCAGTGCCGGTTTCACACCCAGGCACTTGCCTGAGTTTGGACGTCTAGTTGGAGTACAAACCCTAAAGCCTAAAGCCTAAACCCGACAAGACATGTTTTCGACCTGCAAGGCAAGAGCGACAATCCATTGCCCGACTCTGGGCTAGTTGCGGCGATATGCGATTGTATCTGATTCACGGTTCTTCATGGTTACGAGAGCAACAGCTTCAGCATAGATCGAGCTCACGGATCGAGTCTTGCATATTCTTGCAGGTCCAGTCTCATAGTCTGCCGATGGCCAGCACGGGGAACCCGCTGAGACGTATACTGTTAGCTGAAACCTTGAACCTTAAAGTGTTTGCCAATCTGTAGGGCCAAGGCCTTGAAGCCTTGATCTGTCAAAATACCACATCCATCTGGGCCGAAAATACGCGACCGCTCACCGGTAGTAGCAGGATTATTCAAGGGCAAAGAGACAGAAGAGAGATTTGGCTTGAAGAACGTCCAGCGAACGACTGTGTCATACGCTTTCGAGCCTTTGCAAAAGTGTATTGCCCTAACAGCCAGAGCAGTAGTGGTAGTAATGCTAGTAGCAGCAGCAGGAGGAGTAGTAGTAGTAGTCGTCGTCGTCGT